GAGAGGAAAGGTGGTCGACAGTGCATCAGGCGGGGTGTGTGTCCTGTTTCCACAACCCAGGACCTTTGTGACCCCGGACAGGTTACCTGAGGGCTCATTAAGTGTGGGGGATAATGGTACCCGCCTCACGTGGTTGTGGAGAGGATCAGATGAGATAACAACACACAGTTGGTGCTGAATTAGAAAAGCTCCGGTTCCCTCCTGTCTTCACCTCCTGTGAGTCTCTTTACTGTCACACAGAACACGCAGTACTTCTGACACCAGGTGTGTGGGGGTTTCCCTCCACCGAGCAATTCTCTGTGATACCAGCTGGGTGGCCTACAATTTAACTCAGTTCTGGCACTATCTACCTAGAGATAGCATCAGATCCCACAGGTTAAAAGTTCAGTCCCACGAGACTGCCCCCACTTCACATGCCAGTCACAAGTACTAGGTCCCCATGTGACCCCCAACTTCTGTCCGACTAGGCTACAAATGGGAGGTTCCCATGACTCCCTCCTCAGGTTCAATTAATTTGCTAGAACGGCTCACAGAACTCGGGGAAATGCTTACTTACAGTTACCAGTTTATTAAAGGATACGATAAAAAATGTAGATAACAGCCAGGTTAAGAAATGCATAGAGTGAGGTCTGGGAGGGTCCCAAGCACAGGGGCCTCTGTCCCCGTGGAGTTGGGGTGCGTCCCCCTCCCGGTGTGGATGTTTGCCCACCTGGAAGCTCTCCAAACCCCATACTATTGGGGTTTGACAGAGGATTCCTCACATACACATAACTGATTTTTAACTCCATTTCCAGCCCCTCTCCCATCTCTGGCGGGCGGGCTAGGATGGGACTGAGAATTCCAAGCTTCTAATCATGACTTCACCTTTCTGGTGACCTGCCCCATCCAGAAGCCCCCAGAGTCATCTCGCTAGAACCAAAGATGCTCCTAGTGCCCTTATCACTTAGGAATTTACAAAGATTTCAGGAGCTCGGGGTCAGGAACCTATGATCTCATAGGTTCTCAGTAAATGCTAATTCTTACCATCCTGGCTTAGAGATGAGGAAGAGAGGTGAAGTTCCTAGATGTCACTCATGTGGTTTTCCATTATATTTGACTGGTGATGATGGTGGTGGTGGTGATGGTGATGNGGGGGGTGGAGATGAACAGTGACACTGGTGACCTGAAGTCTAGCACCACTGGGTGCCAGGCCCTGAGCTGGGCACCGCCAGGGCATGAGGACATCGAGAAGCCCCTGGTCTCAAGCTCTAGTCAGGTGGACAGACGCTTGGTCCCTAGGCTGTTGGGGTGCAGGGTCCGGGCGGTGGCTGACCCCGTGGACAAATGCCATGTGAGAAGCAATCACTTATCTGTGGAAGGTGGGCTCTGGAAGGGAGTGACAGAGGAACGGCATTTCAGCTGGGCCCAGGAGGGCAGTCACCAACCCCTTCACAAAGAAGGAAGCCCTGTTTTTGCAAAGGCGAGGAGGTTTGGAATTGCAGGGCCAGGAAGGGACCAGAGCAAGTCGGTGGTGGTATCCTGTGCCCTCCTGGTGCAAACGCCCTTCGCTTTGAAGACAAATGCATGAATACATTTCATTGTAAGATATTTAAACATGACAGTTTGGAGGAGCCTAAAACGTGAACATTCCCCTCCACGCTCTGCCCAGCCCCCAATCTCTTCCCCTCCCTAGAAGTTCACATCTTCCTGCAGCTCCTCCCCTCCAGGCATTTTTCTATACAGCTGTGAATGGGGTGATAGTAAGTTCTAGCTAACAGGGGGAACTTCCTGGAATACTGGCTGGCCTTGACCCAGAAGCAGGGTCCTACCCCCGACCTCCCACTGGGCCAGGCCTTAACCCTTTAGTTACTGGATTGGGCTTGGGGTCCTGGGCATTTGGGAGGGCCCTTGGGCAGCGGCTGTTTACCAACCAGTCTGGCAGATTTCAGTATTATCAGACCTGTTTCGGCCTCACTGGCGCAGTACTGGCCAGCCACCAGCACTGTGCAGACGAGAAACAGACGCGTCCATCATAGCTTGTTTGTCTTCTACAACTGGGACAGCGTTGTGCACTCGGGGTGCTGTTCTGTGCCTGTCTTAGAGATCTCCCCTGTCTGGATGTGTAATGCTCCTCATTTGACCTCGACATGATGTGGTGTAGCAGACCCCAGCACGCCTGGCCCCTGCTGAAGCCCCCTGAAGTGGGGACACCCAGGGTTTCACCAGGGCAGAGCGTCCCTTCGATAGCGAAGCCTCAAGCCCAAGGGCCCTGGCAGGGAGAGAAGTGGAGCAGGTCCTGCGGCTTCAGAAACTTGGAGACGCCGCCCCCTCTCTCCTCCCTTCCCGCCCCCCCCCCACCTCATCTTGAGTGAGAGCATTTGCCCTGGCAGGACTTCCGTGTGGGTTTTTACACATATGTACTGTAAGTGCGTAGGGGGAGGTGACCAGGCTTGAGGGCTCCTGAGGAGGAGGATGCCGACATGGGCGCCTGCTGCCTACAGGGGGCAGGTGGGACTGTGATGAACCCACCTGCCCGTTCTCTCTTCCTTGGTGAGGCCTCTTATCTTGCAAATAGGATCCATTTGCTGCAGTTATGACGTAGGCAGCTCTGGGGAGCAGATGGAGGATGCTGTGGGGTCGGTGACTGTGCAGGCGTGTTCCCGTGAGCGTCCTTCCCAGGGAAGCCATGACAGATGGAAGGTGTTGGGCGTGGTGCCTGGCCAGAATAAGGTGAAAGAGGCGGGTTTTCAGAAAGCATTTAGTGATCATTGGCTCCAACATTATAAATGCCTCAGGCGTCAAGAAGGTCCACAAAGCTGTTTCGATGTTCAGCTCTTCTCTGTTCCCGCCACTCTCTGCCCTGTGCAGTTCCCCCTCCAGCCCGCTATTGGGAACACATTGAGCACATCCTGTGCGCCCAGCCCTGGGCTCTGAGCTAGAAATCCTGGAATTTGAGGAGATGTTTTATGACCTCACAGCGCTGAGTCTCAGAGGGGTGGCACACGGGAAAGAAATCAGGCTACTGGAGCGATACAGCAACCCTGGGTGAGCCTCGAGTTGTCTGTCCCAGGCCTGGCACTTAGTAGGTCTCCAGGAGTGTTTGGGTTGAGCGCAAGTGTGGTGTGTGCTAGCATCAGAAACAGCCCTTTGGCTCTGTCGCTTTTACGTGGCGGTAAACTGTTCTACACTCTCTCCCCAACTGTACAGCATAAAGCGGTGCCCCCACCCCTGCAGCTAGGGGACCCCAGGACATCTCCCCGGCTGCTGAAGTCTCTTCCATGGAGGCATCTCAGTGGGGGAAGGATGGAAGATCCTGGGACCATGTGAATGGGACAGCGGCTCTACTGACGGAGGAGAAAATAAATCGTGTATGTGTGTGTTTGCACGACAGGCTCACTCTGTCTTCTGTATCTGGGGCTCGGCCGTGTCTGCCCTGTATGAGCACTCTGACACCTTGTCTTCTTTTCTGTGTCATGTTTTCCCACTGCCGGGCACAGCCCACCAAACTGATTCAGCGCTTCCTAATAGGTCATGGGGTGTGGTTCAAACTCTTCCTTGGGTCTCCTCCCCGCAGCCCTCTTAAGTTTGATGACTCGAATTTGTGACTGGGCTGGTTGGAGTCCCAGGCCTGACCGCCTTCTGGTCTTCATGCTGGAGGGGAGAAACCTGGGCTGGGCCTCTGGCTCTGCCTCCCTACAGGGCTGGGGCCAGACACCAACCACTCTTAGGATCACAGGTGGTTGTAACACCCACTTGCAAAATGAGATGAAACCACATAGCTAAGCTGTTGGGAGCCCAGGCTCTGGAGCCGGGCTGGGTGTCCAGACACTGCCATTTACTGGCTGGGTGACCTTGGATAAGTTACTTTACCTCTAGGATACTCAGTTTCTCCCTCTGCAAAATGAGGCTGATGGAAGGACCTCCCTGGGTTGTTGGAGGATTAAGTGGGTTCACAGACCAGGGCCTGGCACATGGGGAGTTCTGTAAATGTTAGCCAGGATGACAATCAGGATAGGCTTTGCAGGGGTGGGGCCTCTGAAGTCTCAGAGAGCCCTGCTCCCAGAGGGCCTGGCACTTGGCTTAATGCTCTGCTGTCACCATCTTGAAAGTCTTAGTAATTTTGTCTTTGAACTTGATGCCTGATGGGACAATGCAGCATGCATGTGAGCACAGGGTGACACACGCACATATACACCTGGGATGCCAGTGGTGATGGGGGCAGCAGAAAATGACCCTGAGAGACAGGAGGGACTCTGCATGGGGCCAGTGCCTGGACCACGGGGCACAGCCACTGGCCCTTCAGCCCCGGGAGTCTGTCCCTGCCGAACCTGCTTCTATATGAAGTCCTGGGCCTGAACGCCAGGGCAGGAACTGCTGGGCTCAGGCAGTAACGGTTTCAGTGAGTTATTACACAATGGAAGTGTACATACACATGATCACAGCAATGAAGCATACCAGACATTATCAGAACTCTTCAACGAGTTCAGAACCCTTGGTGTTGAAAACTATTACAAATATCTAAAGACTCAGAAATACAAATTAAAGGTAAAGATGGTCACATCTATGGAAAAGAACACTATTTTCAGATCAAGCTTTGATGAACCAATTATTAAAGAGGAAGACAATTGAAAAAGTTAAATTTCCCTCGTGCTTCAAGCTAGGGTAATGGAAGGCGTCAAGAACTGATTGAACTACATGCAGATCATGATGCCACTTTTGATTTCTTGTGTGATCTGCACAAGTTTATAAGACATTAAATGTCAGACATTAAACATTAAAATGCTCCTGT